AAGAAAGGCGTTTTTATCAAACAATATGACGCTGCAAACTACCAGCAGATCAATGCAGATCTGTTTGATGGCTTTGACCAGGAAGCAGCCGGCATTGTGGCCGGTGCACTATAAGTGTCATAATAAAAGCCTGATCAGAAAGTTTATTGATGCTCGTGCAGGCGCATTTTTTCAATCAGCTCTACCAGGTTATTAATGCCCAGTTTGGAAAAGATCCTGCTTTTATACGTGCTTACGGTTGCAGCATGAAGATTAAGCACGGCTGATATTTCCTTGAGCCCAACGCCCTTGGTCAGCAGCCCGGCTACTTCCAGCTCACGGTCCGACAATAGGTTAAAGCCGCTGGATACGGGATCTCCATAAAAGATATTATTGATCAGCTTATCTTTTACCGCAGCACTTAAATATTGCTCGCCCTTCATCACCGTTTTTACGGCTACGGCAAAATCTTCTTCCTTGGCGGTTTTATGCAGGTAGCCATGAGCGCCGGCCTTTATATAACGTATCGCATACAACTGTTCATCAAGCCCGGAAAGGATCAAGACCTTCACTGACCGGTCTTTCCGGAAGATCACGTCCAGCATTTTGAGGCTATCGCCGCCCGGCATGCTAATGTCGAGGATGATCAGGTCAAAGCGGTGCTGATCTATTAAACGAACCACTTCTTCAAAATCCTCCGCATTATAGATGGTTGATTGCGGCATCAGATCCTTCAGGCTTATAGTGGTCGCCCGCCTGATCAGCGAGTGGTCATCGGCTACGAGGATAGTCTGTGATATATGCATATACGTCCCTATAATTTCCGGTTGCCCGGCTGATAATTATCGTTCAATCTCTGTTGATCCGGGTAAAAGAGAATGGGTTATTTTATCCCCTTTCCACCCGGATCAGCGCTGTATCCTTTCTACGAAGTTATGCCGCGCCACTACTATTGTCTCCATCGGTCTGAGGCTTATTGAAGCGCTTGGAACGCTGTCCCTGACCTGCCGGGTTCTGTTGTTGTTGCGGTTGTTTTTCCTTCGGCTGCTGTTGTGGTTTCGCTTCGCCCGCGGCCTGCTGCGGCCGTTGCTCCTTGCCTGCCTGCTGCTTTTGTGAGCGTTGTCCCTGTACGGGTTGCTGCGGCTGCTTATCCGGGTTATTACCGGCAGCGGCGGCTGGTTTTGCAGGCTTAGGTTGTTGCTGCTGGGCTTGTTTGGGCTGCTGCTGTCCCTTGGCTTGCTGCTGTTGCTGTGGCTTTGCGGAGGGCTGTTTTTCTTTATTGGGCTGCCGGTCGCGCGGAGATTGTTGCGGTTTTCCTTCGGCTGCCTGTTGCGGGCGCTGGGCCTGCCCTTGTTTCGGGTTGTTTGGCTGCGGCTTTTTACCGGTCTGTTCCTGCCCCGCTTTCTTATTGCCCTCCGTCTGCTGACTGGCTTTTTTCTGTTTGTTCTTCTTGTCCTTGCGCTCCAGTCCTTTTAAGCTTACCTGGCCTACATCGTTGACAAAGCCCATGTCCACCTTGACAGATGGTTTAGATTTTGTGGCTTCCAGCTCCACGGC